TTATACCAGATTATGGCATTCATTCACAAGTATCGGCTGGCGGGAGTGGTGATGCTGATTGAAACCACACCATCAGGTACTCGGCAGTTTAGCAAGGACCATTGATCTCATGAATATCGACCGGCACCGAACAATCCAGTATTAAAACACCCAGTCAATTTGTGACAGAATTTCAGTCAAAAAGTGATCTCTTAGCTTTGGTAACTGGTGCAATCACGATTAAAGAAGCGCCAAGAGCTTGGGATCTCACATTGGACGAAACCGGAAGGGTGACAGATTAGAAAATACCCGAGAATTGATATAGAATTTCGTTTGAGTTTTTGTCACAANTGCACCGAGGTTTTCTGTTGTTCTAGATACGGCAGTCTGTTGTCAAGTCCGGTACCGATACTAAATACTCCTAGGTAAGGGAAAATCTCGAGTTGTGATGTGTTATTCATACTATATTGTTGGTGGGAGGCCTCCGATTGGAGTCAAAGGATAGTCAACTATTACTCCCTTTGTTGATTTCATGCCAACGGTGAACTGATTTACTATCAATGAATAGGACACCTGAAACTAAACTGATAATTCGGTTCAGTCCTGGTGTGAGCTGGTTTGCACACTGGTAACATACACCCTTCATGCGATGGGTCCAGAGCTCAATACCCGAACGGAAAGATGGATATACACTCCTGTTGAGCTTTGATAAGAGCAAAACTCGAGTCAAGTGTTCCCGAGTGTTGACTAGACGAATTTAAAATTATGCGTTGAAGTGAAGTTTGACGGATAGTCAGTCCAAATCAATCCCACACCACCATTCACAAGTAACCGAGTTAAATGCGAAATGTTTTTTTCCAGTCTGAAGTACCTGATTGTGTGGCTGAAGACAGTACTTTCTAGGTTTTAGGAGTGGTTAGAAGAAAGAGTCTTTCAAATGGTTACACGAAACTCAAGGAAAATCTCAGCACGGCAGATATAGTCAGTGACAGCTGGAGCTGTTAGAAATTTTTCTCGTTCAGAATCCCGGTCGAAGTTGTTGACTCAATAGTGTGAGTGACAATTCAATCGAATTTGACCGATGCATGCTTTTTCGAAGAGCTCCCACAGATTTGTCACATGAAACCTATTTTAGTTTTCGTCTGCACGCGTCGTCACCTTTTCCTAACGACCCCGATTGACGTACAGCTCACGAATTAGGCTTAATTTGGAAGAGATACCACCTCAATGAATGTGGTGTCGTATCCTTTCACCTGAATCATTTTTGCTTTAGAAACATAATTAGGTGGCCAAACCACTTTGAAAGATCGTAAAATTTATCAAGTGCATTTGTGATAAGTCTAGAAATCTGGCATTTTTTATGGACAAGCATTCGGTCCTCGAGTGTTATATAACCCTAGAGGTTAGCGTGAAATACAAGTATATATGATGATAGGTAGTTACCTTGTGTAACAACCACGGAATCAGTAGCAGTCAATTTCATCTCCCTGCGATGCATTTGGGTAACAACTTATGATACCCGATTAGCATATGTGACAACTCGTTCGTAGGGTGTTAGTAACGACCTGTAGATGCCGAGACCGTATTATTCATTTTAGTCGTATTGAAATGTTTTTGGTAAGCCATGCATTTTCCTAGCACGTGTCAAGTCAAGTCAAACTAAACTTTATGCACCCGAAAAATGAATTTTCAGCGATGTTCGATGCCAGGGAATTCAGGACCTTCTGGAATATTCTTTGTGGCAGTGAAAAGTGATCAATTGCAACATAGATTTAGGAAATTACGTATAAAGTGCTATCATCCAAGTCCTCAGTGGTACCAACCAGCAAAACACGATCTACGATGTTTATCAAACGATCTTGATGAAATACAAGGTATGTTACTTGCTACATTTCAGTAGTCAGATAGTATATGCACATAATGAATAACTGGTTCGAATGAAACGGAAGGACTGCAAATGTGGTGATGTTCATTTATCAGTCAAACCTCGGACACTGTAACTTCTACCGGCTAGATCTTAGTTGGCATAGAATAAATCATCAAACAGTTGCTTCGTGCAGTTCGAGCGTCACTTGACCAATTTTCTTTGTTTGCCAGCACATTTAACCCACACGAAGTTGAAATAAGAAAAACAATAGCGAATATGCATCCATTAGGACATATGCACTCACCTTTTTGGGATCCACAATTTGAACGTGTTCACATTTGGGACACACAAAAAACAAATGGCGTATCAGAGGACCAGTGAGTCGTGAACGTTTGCGTTGTTTAAGCCAGGTGATTAACTTTCCAGTTATATCAAACCGAGTTGAATTCTCATTCGAACCACTGCGAACTCGAGCTTGTGCCAGTTTTGGACGTACCAGGCGGAATGCTCGACTAGGTTGGTCCGAGATTTTATCGGTCTCGTAATTTGGTGTGTCTTCGTCCGTCGGGTAGAACATCGTGTCTGTGTATTGTTCCGGTAAACGGAGATCGAACAACGGTTCTGGGGTTTGGTACATATCATTCATTCCGGTCGGACTGAACAATGATATCGATGGGACGATCTCCCACAAACTTATTTCTGTTCCCGGTTCTAGAATCTCTGTGTGCTGAAAGTTAACGGGGGAACAGCAGCATGCATGAACATTGGCAATGGGACACATCTTAATGTAAGTCCAACAAACGTAAAACCAAGTTACCCCAAAAATACCAGTTAGTATTGCCAAATTCCGTTGTACTCCTTTCAAATCATTCAATAAACAAATCGGATCCTATCCTCAAAGCAAGGGGAGCACAAGACAATATGATCTATTTTTCCGTAGATTTGCTTTTCCTGGATAAACACTGCCTGTCGCCTTGCATTTCACCGATTTCCAAAAGTCATAAAATCCTATAGATTTTATCCAATTTGTTGAACAAAAGCTATTCTACAACAGTCATGACCCTGCTCCATGCTGGCGAAGAAAATTGACTAGTTGGCTGTTGATTCACTCACTCACTCACTCACGCACTCAATCACTCACTCACATAAAACGTCTATCTAAACAGCGTGCAGATTTGGAAGTCTATCTCTGCATTTCGATAAGATGGGTAGCCGAATGAATGTACCTGAGTCGCATGTATCCTGTTTTATGCTGTTAGATGGTCTTAAATTTTCTGACATTGACACTTCAAAAATCAAAGAAACTGGGTTATGAACCTATGAGGCAGATTGGTTTTCAAATATATTTATTGTCATTGTCTGTCTAGATTTCAACCAGTGTTTTCTCCTGTTGAACAGAACAAATCTAATGAGTTGTACACCCAATCTGAAATCCGGAAAGCATTAGATCAGGACTCCTTCTTTGGGGCAATCTTTGTTCGGTTTGCGCTATCGAGGTTGAGGAAAAAGAAATAAACATTACTAATTATGCTAAATCAAGAATAATAAAAGTTTTAGATTAAGTCATGACTGCGAGTGGCTGTTTCTGGTGGTATGAAGAAGAACAGGAAGTTGCAAGCATTTTGTTTAATCGTGAATAGAAAATAAACGAAACAGTCCAATTAACAGACGGGTGCGTAGTCACGATCTGCCTGAGGTTCCGAGTTTTCCTTTTAAGTCCGATCGGTCGATTCGCACTGTTGATGAAATTTGACGATTTTAACTCAGCTGTGGTAGTCAATATTGCCGGAATTCATAAATGATCGCAGCCAGATTAGTTAGTTGCTGTCTACATTGTAGTCTGGTGGCAGGCAGCTTTGTTGTCGTCCAGTTGAATACCACGTCTAACCTAGCTGAACCTTATGTGGTTCGCTATTACAAGCCCCCGGGTTATCGGTTAGTATCACTGAAACGGTAAATCTTCGTGACTCTGCGATCGACCCCGTCCGCAAACACACGAATATTCATAGAACGGAGAAAGAGTGATTGTATGTCTATCCGTGCTCCAGTGCTGGGTTCAGGTTGTCCCACAAAACTGAAGTTTCCACTGAAGTATTCATATTGTACAAGGTATGGTTGACAGAACCAGTTGAATTTCATCACTTTTCCCACATCACTTCATTTTGTAAGCTAGACTGGATTTCTTTTTCTTTTGTTGGCAGTGAATAGATCACAATGAATAAGCGGAGGAAAGTAAACAGTGTGAATCAATTGACTTGGTCAGTTGAACACCGAAGGTCCGGTGGAATTTGCAATCTGACATGTGTATCAGTGTCATTCTCCCGGCCCCCCCCCCCCGCTCCGTCCTCACCGTCCGTTCCGCTACCCGCACAACCACCACATCTCTCGGAATACCGGGTCACACCATAAACCTTAGGGGGTATCACAAATTAACCCGGATTTCAAATAGCAATTGTATTGATCAATTCGATTGTTCATTCGTGACGGCCAGGTTCCTCCGGATGAACAATGTATTTGGTCAAATGTATTTTTCTAATTTCGTTTTGCGACTTCTCACAGAAGTAAGTTGACTGTGTTATTATTACCATTATTATTTTCGGAAATATTGGAAAAACGATGTAGTGTGATTTATTTCCGAATTCGTATTTTACAATGTGTTGCGTGGCAACTGAATTACAGCACGAATTTCATTTGATCCGGAGAAAGACCATAGTTGTGACTGTAGTGGTAATGTTAATGATATTGGTAAGATTTAGCAACAGTGTACAATATACATAGATAAACGGAAAAATGAAATCTAGTATTTTAGGTGTGAATAAATCGGTCTGCATCATCAGAGTTGTTTCGTGTTACACATTATCACGGATGGGATTCGAAATAAGTAAAGTGAGTTGATTTTGTTGGACACAATTGGACAAGAATCACTTTAAACTGACTGCTGACTCTAGTTCTATTTGTCCTGTACAACGCAGCGAATGAACCCGTGCGGTATTTAAAAATTCCATCTTTGATTTCCCACTATACTGCTGGGAATAAAGAATAAACTGCACATTTGGGAAACCTCAAAACTCCTCTTCAAACTTCACAGCTAATCAGGAAACAATGAATTTTGGGATCGGAAACATCAGTTTTTAGTTGACATTGGTAAACTGCTTCTTTGCTTCCCCTCTCCCCAACCAAAAAACAAGAAAAAACTGAACACAACCAATCGACCAAAATTGGATTACACTGTTATAGATTACTACCTCTTGAGAAAACTAATTTTCTACAGATAGCTTACCTCCGAATGGATCCAGGCATAGCTGACGTGATTCGGATCGATGTCGTCTGCGATCTTCAGAGTGAACGCCATGGATGGCAGGTTGCCAAGCACAAACGGGTCTACNCTACAAGAGTTGAACGGGGACATAGAAAAGTTAACAAAGTCTACAGCTTATTATTTTAGCTAACATAGGCTCCTAAAGCTTGATCGGTTCAATGAACCCCGTTGTCCTCGTGCTGAATTCGGAGAGATACGTTTGAATAAGACCACTGTGGTAGAAAAAAGTTTGCCAAAAACCATGAAACCTTTTCCTGAGAGCAGGACCTGTGGTTCTTCCAGTGGTAGTAATTCAGCCAAGTGCACAGAACCGCATCGTTGTGAGTACGTTTCAGGTATGTTGTAAAGAATGTGATAAAAGATACGACAAATATCACACTTAACGATTATTTCAGCATAAAAGTATTTGATCGACTGAACTTATAGTTTGTCAAAACACTTTTTACTAATGGAAACACTTTATTTATTTCATTGATCGACTGGTTGCGTGAATAAACAGCCTCTAGTTGTTCGCTCGAAGAACACAGAACGCAACGAATGTTTATTTAATCGATCCGTACAACCGAATTCAAAATGTGACACGCAGTTTTAAACTGTTCTACACTTTTAGGCAGTTTGGATTGGTTTGAGTTCGCGGATGGGAACAAGAGAGATAACCACCAAACGTATCTATATAAGTAAGCTTTGTCAGTCGAAATGTGGCCTCTTTTCCGCCTGATAGGTACAGCGTTTGAAATACTGATGTCTCCGACACAGAACTGGTGGGGATGTTTACTGAATTTCTTTGGCATCATTTGATCATATCAGTCATTGCTTGGGTCTACATAAATGAATCAAAAATGTTAGTCGGTTTCACTGGTACTTCGCAAGGTGATCACCTTGACAACGCATGAGAAATAAGGACAGCTCTAAGCTAGTGAAAATCGTGTGGACGTGATGCAATACGTGGCTTTCATACCGAGTTTCTAGAATAGTTTGTGTCCTATTATATGGCGGCTATGCATATGCTTGTGCGGAACTATAGACTCTTTCCGCTTACTCATAGTGTGACGTGTTCCTGTCTAAGCTTATCATCTGATTGGGAAAATGTGTTTCCCAGTGGAAAAAACATGATTCGAATTCTCGTATTAGAAACACAAATCTTCGTGATAGAAAATGATTACAAAGAATAGCTGGATACTGGCACATCTTGAAGATTGAATCCTGAATTTTGCTTACGATCAGATCTTACTGATATCTTATGACATCCAATGATTAATCCAACGTATGTGTGTTTCTTAAGGGTATTTATGTTTTAGCACTACTAATATAGAAAGAAATTGACGTGTGATGTTGTGAACTCGCGTCAGGTGTCACCCCTATTCCATACCTTTATCTTTCAAGTCATGAATGACTGTGCGACCCCTGACCTCCCCCCACCCCCACCCCCCACCCGTGTGGGTGCATCTGTGGCNAGGAACCATGGAAGAATGCGCGAGCATCACGGTAGGGAAAAAGAATGCGCTGCAGAAAGTTGTGCAACGAACTACACTGGTTCGCCGAACGTGAATGGTCGTTGGACAACCCGATGGATACATAAATGTACGTGAGAGAGACAGAGAGGACTAAGAGGGAGCGGGTGAGTA